CCTTCATGCCCATCACCGTCTAGCCCATCCCCCACCCGTCTCCTGCCAGCGGCCCTCAGTTTGTTCTCCAGAGTCAAGAGTCTCTTATGGTTTGCCTCTTGGTAAACTGACTTCTCAATTAATAGCAGAGGGGGGCTGTAGGGATCAGCCAGCACATTTTTTTTTTCTTTTTTCAAAATAGCTCTCTTGGGCTGTAACTACACACAGTACAATTCACCCACTCAGGAGGATGGTGAAGGGAGTTCGCCCTATCGGGACGAAGCTGAAATGAAGCATGAAGGGAACGGCATCCGGGGAGCTGGAATCGACCAGGTGCACACTCAGCCTTGCACCTGTGGTGACGAGTCCCAGCAAGGCCTCTGGTACTTGGCGCCAAAAACGTCCTGATCATCTTCCATGCCAAGCCATTGAAGGGCCGGGAACTAGCTGCGTGAACTTACCCGAAAATGTAGAAGGAAAAGCAAAGTGTTTAAATGATGATTCTGCCCTTCAGGACTCCGCTCAGCTCCTGTTGTGACGTCTCTGTCTTCACACGGTTCCCCCGTTGTAGCACTCAGTCATTGTTTCCGTGGCCCCCGTCACACGTGACCCTGCGTGTGTGAAAGCATTAAGGAAACAATTATAAATCCAAGACGGCTCCCACGTGTCCATGCCTCATCCCCCGAGTAGACATAGGCGTCCCGAGAAGGAACTTGTCTTAGAAGCTTTAACGTCTGCACCAGCAGTGGCTACGATCCCACAAAAACACTGGAACGCTTGCTATGGGAGGTGACGCCAGGGTGAACACTTGGCAGGAAGCGCTGTCACCTTCAAACCAAGGGAGTCTCTTCAAACCAAGGGAGTAGCGTACGGAGGCATGAGGTAGATGTTTTACCGCTTATACAAATGGCCTGGAATTTTCTTAAGGTAACTGTGCCACAGCAGTAAGTGTATTCTGTCTGTCATGGGGGAAGGAATAATATGTATCACTTGAATATGCTGTAGGTTTAAGAAATTATGAAACATTATGTAATTTTATTTGCAGAAAACATAACCTTGTATTATCTGTTTTTGTGTTTTTTTGGTTTTGTTTTTTTAGTTTCTTTTGAGAGAGAGTGTGAGTGGGGCAGGGGCAGAGAGAGAGGGAGAATCTCAGGCTGTCCGCGCAGAGCCCGATGTGGGGCTCAAACTCATGAACGGTGAGACCGTGACCTCAACCACAGTCAGACGGACGCTCAACCGACTGAGCCACCCAGGCGCCCTTGTAATATCTGTTTTGAGTCTGGATACAGATTAAATTTTCACGGAGGGGGGATACCTTTGGGATCCCGGAGATGCGGTGAGCTACATTTTAGACCAGGGAGCACAGGAGCCCAGTTATAATCTTTATTTTTCTCCAGCGGGACTTGCATATTACGTACACCGTGTCCCCCTGCCCCGTTTCTACTTTTCAAAAGGTCAGAGACTGCTCCCTGCCTTGTCCCATGAACCCGGATCAGGAGGAGACCCTGCTGTTCCCCCAGCAGACAGATTCTCCTTGGGAGAGGGAGGGCGGCGGGCGGCCGACTGACTACCTATCGTGTCTTAGTACTTCTCAGATGCCCCGCTTCTCCCTCACACCGCCCTTTCTTTGTTGATTTCTGAATGCCTGTGGCCCCCACCCCAGATTCAAGTGTGGACGTCTCGCTCCCAACGCGATGGTATCAGGAGGTGGGGCCTTTGGGGGGCGCTGAGGTCAGGAGGGTGGAGCCTTGTGAGGGGATGGGTCCTTCTAAAGGAGACTCCAGCCTGCACTCTTGCCCCTTCCTGTGAGGACCCACGTGAAGACGGCCTGCTGTGAACCAGGAAGCCAGCTCTCCTCACCGCCCGGAGTCTGTGGCGCCTTGATCTCCGACCTCCAGCCTCCCAAAGCGTGAGTGGTAAATTTCTGTTGTTTCTCAGTCGCCCAGTCAATGGCATTCGGTAACAGCAGGCCAAATGGGCCCAAACAGGTTTATTCTTTTTAAGGCTGAGAAAGCTGAGGCCCAGAGATGTTAAGATGGCACAGCAAGCGAAGGGGCTGAGCTGCGACTCTAAGCCAGCCATCTGCTTTCGAGACTCGCTTTTTTTTGGAAACTGAAGTATAACTGACACACGCCATTAGTTTCAGGGCTACACTGTAAGGATTGGTGTTTGTATCTATTGGAGATGATCGTCACAGTTAAGTCTCCTTAACATCCATCACCGCAGTTACACTGCATCCTTAGGACTTTGTTTATAACAGACTTGGACCTCTCGAGCCCTTTCACAGATTTCACCCACCCCCCCATGTTCGGCAACCACTAATCTATTCCTCTGTATCGATGAGCTCCATTTTTGTTTTTTCAGATTCCACATACAAGTGACATCATATGCCATTTGTCTCTTATTTCCTTTAGCACAATGCCCTCAAGGCCCATCCGTGTTGTCACAGACGGCAAGATTTCCTTTTTTAAGCTGACAGTCCGTCGTCCATCTATACCGTATTTTCTTTACTCACTCATCTGTTGGTGGACACTTAGGTTGTTTCCATGTCTTGGCTATTGGAAATAATGCTGCCATCAACATGGGGGCACAGATGTCTTTTGGGGGACATGCATTCATCACCACACATGGCTTCAAGCCTACGAAGACACAGATGATCCACAGTACAAGTCCCATAGTCACTGCAGAGGTGAGGCATGAATTCTGCATCTCATTTCAGCTAGGAAGGAATAGCTCTGCTAGAGAATTAACTGTATTGGTGACTCAGTAATCGGTTAACTATACATTTAGTATATATTCAAAAATACTTAGGTGAACTCGTGTCCCCCTAGATTACCACAGCCTATCTTTAAATTGGAAATCTAGAACTTACCACCCTTTCACTTATAGACTGTCCCTTGAAAGACTGAGTGCTGATCCGGGCTGCCCCTTTTGCCTGTCGTGTTCCCGGGACGACATGGAGGGCATAGCTCCCTAGACACAGGGAATTGCCAGGGAATATTCCAGGGAGATATACGAGCCCGGTTCCAACCCCGCCTTGTTCACTAATACTTGCCCTAATGACAGGAGTTTGTTCTTCTGAATAGTGTGAATACTGGAGAGAGAAGACTTAATTTAAAACCTCAGAGAACACGGGGCGCCTGGGTGGCTCAGTCGGTTAAGCATCTGACTTCGGCTCAGGTCATGATCTCACGGTCCGTGAGTTCGAGCCCCGCGTCGGGCTCTGGGCTGATGGCTCAGAGCCTGGAGCCTGTTTCAGATTCTGTGTCTCCCTCTCCCTCTGACCCTCCCCCGTTCATGCTCTGTCTCTCTGTGTCTCAAAAATAAATAAACATTTAAAAAAAAAAAAAAAACACCTCAGAGAACATCCAAAATGGAGTTCATGTTCCAGATGCATCTCCTGTCAGAGCGGAGAAGTGTTGGCCCCCAGATATGAGCAGGTATGATCTAGGCACACAACCGCTCTGACATCCAGTGGGCTATGACCTCTCCCAGGAGCGGTGGAAGGCTGGACTACATCGATCCTGCATTCAGCCTCGATGGACAGTTTACTGTGGATGAGGTTTTTCTCGAGAAACCGTGTAGGTCTGTCAACGGGGGGAGCCCCTGCCTGTGGCGCAGTGTTACAACACTTTCTCGTAACAACACCTTATCCTACACTCACTCAGTGGCACGTAGGACCAAAAAACTGCCAGCGGTTATTACTTTTCTCAGGAGTTTACCAATGTGACTCACGGATGACAAAACGGCTGCTACCAGGGAGACTACGGCGTCACTTCTGCACAGGTGATTTCTGTCTGGAGAAATGACCGGGAGATGTGAAGTTACTCTTAACATCAAAACCTGTTAACTATCAGCTTTATTTTATTTTAAAATATACAAATATTTTGACACGTAGAAGAGTTGAGAGCTGTCGGATTTTGAAAACACCACACAATACCGACACAACCAAGAAATTCCATGTCACGTGAATCGCTGCAGACTGCCAGTTCCTTCCACTAACCTAACATTACAGATTCAAGGTACATCAAACGGGTTAACATTGGCAATCCTTAAGAGAACAGTAACGTGCTGCTCTAAGCAGAACAGCCAGTTTAGGAATCACGGGCAGAAAAGCATTTCAACGGCAAACTTAAGAGCTCCCTGCAAAAATCATCTGCACCGAGACAGTGAGTTGATACAAACATTCCGTATCTGGGAAAATACTCTTCTTGTGAATTCTAACACTCAACAGAATAGGATCCTGTCTTTGAGAGGGACCGTCCTGGCGCGGTGACTTGCACCAAATCTCTAAGGTTCGGGTTAGGCTGACCGGAGGGAGGGCTTCAGGCAGGAGAAGACATGGGACTCGGAGCGGGGAGAACACGTCCAATGTCACGGGCAACGAGACCTGCTTGCGGGAGCGGAGTTCCGTACCAGGATGGCAGGAATCGAAATGGACATATTTAAAAAGTGAAAACACATACACCAATGCAGGCGCATCCTCAAATCATGCGGGTCTTGAAACTATTCTCTAACAAGGCCCAGCCTGAGCAATTCTCACAACCGAGACTTCGTGGAGCTGAGACGCGCCTTAGTTTTGCCGAGCGCGTTCCCAGGGCGCACCTCTGCGTTTTCCTAAGGGTGCGCTCCTAAACCGTACGGATGACAGCACAACCTCCGGAAAAGAATCTTTCTTAAAATTCGAAGAGAGCCCCTTTTTTCCTTACTCTTCCTCATGAACATGTGAGGTTGTTCACTCTTCTAGATTAAATGCACAGGCACTACTGTGGCGAAAGGAAAACCCAAGGGACTGCTTCCCACTGAGGCCAAGTGGGAAGGAAACCTAGAATGATCTGGCATAAACTATGAGGTGAAAACAAAAGAACACGGTGCATGGGACCCTCACTAGGTATACAGTGTCACGACCCACTTGACATTCCCATTACATCACGAGAGCAATTCGGTTTGGGGAAGAGTTTAATGTATCGCTCAGGAAAAAAATAGCTCGTAGTTTCCCATCGCTAACGGAGCGGCGGTTACGAGGTCCAGCGCCACCACGCGACCTTCATCCTGTCCCACACCGCCGAAAAAGAATCCAAAGCGGGCCGGACGTCCAGGATGGTGAACTGGTAGTCCTGGTTAACTTCGCCACCGTCGTAGTAGTCGATGACATACCTGACTTCTGTCCCACAGCGGTTGATGATCCAGTCGTGCCTGTCAAAAGGCAACTCGTACCTGAAACGAAAACATGCTCGTGAGCGTGAAAGCGCTTGCTCTCGGGGGTCACACGCCCAACCGGGGAGGTGAGCCTCAGAGGATCGCTCTGCTGCGCTGAAGGGAGACGCTGCTGAAGAGCCGCGATGAGCCCAGCCCAGGTCAGATGACGGCTCGTTTGTCTGCAGAGCAGCAGTCGACAGAAAACAGACCCGGGCCGGGGAGGTCCCAGGAGGCGCTGCAGCGATCCAAGCGTGAGCGGAGTCTGTCTACGCTGGAGGAACAGAGAGGGACGCGGAGCGTTCAGCTGCACAGAGACCACGGGAAGGAGCGAGAGGACAGATCCGAGAACATGGAGGACAAGTGAATTCCGTGCTACGATAATCAGACAGGGGCCAAGTCACAAAACCCTAATAAATCTGCCCACCACCGGGCACACTTGAGGGAGAGGAAGAAACCTGCAGCTGAGCACTGACTTTTGCAAGACGGAACTGCAGTCCTGAGGCTGTCTGCTTTAGGTGCCGAGAGAAAGCTGATCCTGACCCGAGGCGTGTAAAATAACATTTGTGCGCCGCCACTCACCCCATCCAGGAACGGATTCTCGCCCTTGGTGAGTACTCTTTCGCTTTACCTCCGAACCGGATCAACGATGGACCACAAGGACACTCCCTAGAAATTCGCCAACAAGAAAAGCCTATTAAAATGTTTTCCCCCCTCTGAGAAATGCGATGTTGCAGTTTTTCAACAACACACGTTTTTCTGTGTGCGTTTTACGTATCACATTTACAGAGTGAGAGAACTTCGAAAACAATTCAGAGAAATATCCCTTTTCGTTAAAAATATTGCTCTTTATTTCGGGGTCAAGTCTGTTCCACTCCTTCCACTTCATTCCAAATATCTGCGCTGTTTCTTTCCAGGAGTGAGGAAACGGACTTTACATTTGGTGGAAAGGGAGACGTTCTTAGGAAAAAGATAAAAGGTTAAGTAGCGCGCATGACACTTCTTTCACATGCTGCAGCTGGGTTTTTTAAGACGAACAGAAGAAAATCCTACTCTTCTTTCATGTGAAACCAGTGAACAAAGCCTTTATGAAGAAAAATGCTGGCTGAATCCCTAGGAACAAACGAAATCAGCGATGGGCCGGCTCTTCACGTCAGGATATACGAGGCCACCTGTCTTGTTAGCTGCTGTCACCCTGAGGACAGGCTTCAGCCTTGGCGGCCCTGATGACGGGGCGGGGGGAGAAAACCAGCGCCAGTGTAACCGAGCCCTACCCGAGGCCCATCCGAGTTCCTGTACTTCCTTTACGAACCATTCGCTAGCATCTCAAGAGGGTCGCCAGCAAAGAAGTAAACTCGACCCAGGCAAGCTTTCTCCTGGAGGCTGTAGCATGTGTCTTTAAAGGGCCAACTTAATTTTGAGGGACCCCGGAAAATGACTAGGAAAGAGGTGAAACTGACAAAGTAGACTTCTCCTGGTCTCTCTCTGCTCCAAAGTCACACTGCAAGTACTTGGCGGGTGGCTTTCCTTACAGTGGGCTTTTAGTCACTGCAGACACCTGTGGGTGGCTTCATCGGTGAGCTGGGAACATGGCTCCTGCTGGTCTCGGGTCGCTGAGGGGAGTCCTGGGTGCCCTGCCGTTCCCTCCTCGCACGGACCCCTCCCAGGCCTGGTGTCCAGCAGTGACACCCACGGAGGGCTACTAATGAATCTCAGAGTTCAAATATTTAAAAACTGGGATACCTTAACGAAATCGTTAAGTGGACTTTAGCCAAGAAGTTAATCCCATTTTATCACAAATTTAAAATGTAATCCCCCAATGATGATACAATCTGGCTTTCTGTGCAGACATCCCCCACCCCTATGGTTCTCGAGGTGGACCCTGCAGACCGGCGGCATCTATGTCTTTCTAGAAATGCCAAGTCTGGGCCTCATCCCAGACCTACTGAATTAGAATCCCTGGGGCTAGGGGCCCCGGCTCCCACAGACCTCCGGCCCACCACTGCCGACAAACACGTGACTGCTGCACCTGTTCCCCCGAGGGAAAGGCCCACTGCTGAGACCTCTCCTGAGGTCTGGTCCTGATGGGGGTTCAGTGATGCTGAGGGAACGGAGCTGCTCTTCTCCTCACCCTTGGGGCACAGCACGGGGCCATCTCCCACCCCATGTGCCTTCCGTGTACTGTGACATTCCTCCCACTGAGAGGCGGGCACCACGGCCCCTTCCCCTGAACCAGGGCAGGCTTGTGATGCTCCGGGACTGCCGAGGCCAGGTCATCAAGGGAGATGTAGCTTCCCTGGAGTTTTCCGGAACACTAGGTCTCAGAACCCAGTCACCATGGCATGAGGAAGCCGAAGCAGCCAGGGGCAGGTGTCCTGGCTGACAGCCGACACCAGTCACCAGGTGAGGAAATGGTCCAGCCTACAGAGGATCCCGGCCCACGGCCGTCAAGCCCATCCCCGATCAGAGCCTGGCTGCAGCCCTAGGCGTTGTGAGCAGAGATGAGCCACCCCTGCTCTGTCCTTTCTGCACTCAGGACCCAATGAATCCACAAGCATAATAAAATGGTTGCCGTTTCACGCAGCTGGGTGGGAGCGGGTCTGTCACACAACTGTCACCGAAACAGACCTACCACCTAAAATGTTGTATTACAACAGCACACTGTTTGAATACAACGTTAAAACTCTAGAAAGCAGAGCCCAAATAAGAAAGATGTTGGAAAAATGTTTTGTTTTTTTTTTTTAAGCTCTCAGACATACTTACGCAGCATGAAGGGCTTCCCACTTCAAAATCTCCTTCCAGGCTTGCTCGTTATTCTGATTGTGAATTTTGATGATATTGTACATATCTCTCTGACTAATATCGTCATCCTTCCACTTCCACCTAGGAAAGGACATTTGGTAGAACTTGATAACATTACTGATCACGCCACAAAATCAACCCACATATTCGTTTCACCAAGTCACCAAAAACCACTTGCACACAGATCAAGGAACCATAAAGTAACACTTTTTCAGTCAGTACCACTGATTAACTTTTTCTAAGTACTTCACGTAATAGAATTTTTAAACATCTATTATTGGCTATAAGTTAATCTCGTGTGTCAAGTTGACCGGGCCATGGGGGGGCCCAGATGTTTGGTCAAACATTACTCTGGGTGTGTCTGTGAGAGCATTTTGGAGGAAAATAAGCTTTAAATGGGTAAAACAGAGTGCCCTCCCTAATGTGGGTGGGCCTCATCTGATCAGTTGAAGGTCTAAATAAAAGAATGAGCCTCTTGCAAATAACAGGGAACTTTTCCTGCCTGACTGCCTGAGAGCCGGGATATGGTTTCTTCGGGCCTTTGGACTGGAGTGAAAACAACAGTTCTTGGGTCTCCAGCCTGCCAGCTTTTAGACTCAAACTACACATCAGCTGTCCTGGGTCTCCAGCCTGCTGACTGCAGATCGTGGGACTTCTCAGCCTCCATGATCACGTGAAGTCAATTCCTTACAATAAATCTCTTCACATCTGTAAAGACACACACCCCGATAGTTCTGTTTCTCCAGAGAATCCTGACTGATACACTGGCCTTTGTACTGACGTTCTCGTAGGTCTGAATAATCGGCTGAATGTTATATACTGTCTAGCTTATGAAAATTTACTATATGTTTTGGGGATAAAAACCTCTTTAACATTTCATTCTTAGATGAACTTGATGAGCAAATTTATACCCTAACATGCTCACTCACCCTTTGCGTAACATCGCGTTCCAGAACATCTGTTCAGAAGGATAAACCCACTTTTTGTCTGAATCTGCTCTCGGAATGGATGACTCCTCCCTCACCGTAGACAGCGCAAATGGCTGATCCGGGGCCGGCATCTGGTTGGGTGGCGGCATCTAAACAAGGTGAGCGGGTTTTTAAATGTTGGAAATAGACACAAAGTGGAAATGAACAATATAATCGACGACATTCTGGAAAGCGGTGCATCATCACACATGAGGCACAGGTTCCCTATCAAGCCAGTGACGTCACGATTTCAGACCTGCCAGCTGATTTGGTTGTTCTCAAGAGTTCTAGTTCTAAAGTTGTTTTTCCTTGTTAAGGAGTTCTCACAAACGGTAGGTACACACTGTGGCTATATTTTCTGTCTCTTTCTCCCCAAGGATTAAGAAGTAAAAATGATCACTGTGACTGCAGACATTTCTAAAGCCCCTTCGATGACGGGCTCTTCAAAAACGCCTGTTCTTCTGAGGAAGAGTCTCAGAAGACACATGTAGACCACCGCTTTCTTTTTACATGTTCTTTGCTTTTACGATCCTGCTGATGCTTTCCGTCTTTGGGCTGAACACATTAGAGAGGAGCAGTGACGCCGGCACGCTGGCGGACTGGAAGGAGGGGAAGAATCCTTCCTCCCAGACATAAGGGCGGCAACAGTGCTGTGCAAACACTTGCCCTGGACCAGGGGCTCTCGCCCCGGGCACCGCTGCCATTTGGGGCCGGACAACTTTTGGTTACGGGGGTTTGTTCCGAGCACCGTAGGGTATTTGGCAACCTCCCTGGTCTCTACCCAACAGTACCCCTCCTCCCGAGTCGTGACAACCAGGGTCCTCCTGAGGGCAAACATCAAGCCAGGCTGAGAACCCCTGGCACGGAACTTTTTCTGTGTTGGAAGTATGCGGGATTTTCGAGCAGATCCGCATTTATTATTAAGTCACAACGTGGCCCCTGGTCAGAATGATATGCACGGTCACCACAGTGGGTTTAAGGACTCGCATCAGAGGCAGGTGGGATTCAGTCTGGGATCTGCCACATGCTGGCTGAGCGATGCGGGCCAAACCGCACGCTTGATCATTCTCAGTGGCTTCCGCTCTAAAAACGGGGACGCTGACACTACTGGCTGCACAGGGTGGTTATGAGAATTACTCAAAAGCGTGTATGGTGCTTAGCGTGAGGGCTACGGATGCGACTAAAAGAAACGCCGGCTGTTATTAACACTCTTACTACGTGTAACGATCCCATGGGGTAAGAGTCTAGATCTGTGGGATTCCAAAAGGCCCATGTTCTGAACCACTAGGCTGTTCTCTAACAGCAGTACTGTTCCCTAGCAACTACTGTTACCTGGAACAGTAGTCTAACGAGGGCACTTTTAGAAATGTCAGGAGACACATTAGATTGTCACGACCGAGTAAAGAGGGTCCCACTGGCAACTGGTGGGTAAAGACTAGGGAAGCCGCTAAATATCCTATGGAGCACAGGACAGCCCCCACCGCAAGGAACCCACCAGCCTCAATGTCAACGGTGCTAAGGCAGAGAAGCCCTGATCTTGTCCACTTTCCTCCTCAACACAGCAGTGTCCTTAGAGTTTGGCAGGGTCATTACTGAGTGCTGAGGCTGAATGTCTGTGTCCCTCCAAATTGACTGAAGCTGCTGGCACCTTCCAAGAGGACTTCTCAACCTCTGGAACTGTGAGAATAAATGTCTGTACAAGCCACCTAGTTGCTGGTATTGTTACATACATAACATACACACACATGAACACACACACATATATATCACAACCCTTCTCTTCCAGACTAAGTATTTCTAGTTCCTTCAAACGTTGGCCAAGATTTCTAAATACTTTTGGTAACCATGGCCTTCTAAGAACCCTGTTCTGGCCTTCTAAACTACAGATCTGTCTGTCTCTCCATTAAAATGGGATTCCAAACAGGAAGCCCCCACCTTCCGCACTATCGCAAAATGTAGTGAGGCCGTGCTAGTCTTAGCCTTGCTTTGTCACGCCATCCCACTGGTGGCTGCCACGGGACGCTGTACCACACCAGTGACTCTCACGCAGGCTGGCACCCAGCTGGGCCGGAAAAAGTGCCCTCATCAGCCTCACGCCTCTGAGGTTTCCCAAGACCAGAAACACCTTTACCAATCCTAACTGCACTCCTCATGGGACTTCCTGCCTTCCACTTATCCCCAAAGGAACTATTCCTGTGGTGTGGCTTCTTTCCAGTCAACCTACTCTGGCACTTGGTGGTCATGGTTTTCTTTTTCAGGCACCCTCTGAAACGATACTTAGAAATGCCTTCTAGATTTTCAGTGTGGATGGAATATGAGACTTCTGTATCTTAAGAGGAAGAGAGAATCAATCCTAGCAGCCAGCGATTTGTCCTGGGAGTCCACAAAGGCATCTCTGTATGACAAGTTGTGGGGAGGGGGGCCGAACGTGAATTACCAGGTTAGAAGGGTCCAGGTCCTCCTTACTGCCGGCCACGGCGCCGGTGACAGGGCACTCCACGTACTCATATGCACGGTCCTGGTGGGTGGGCACAGAGCTCGTTTTGTTCTCACAAGTTGGCTCAGGTGGCTCCGCACTCACTGGACAGCCTGAAGTAAACGAAGTGTAAAAACAGTGTGACCACAAAGGCAGGACATCTAGCTCTCTCAATCCGGGCCCTAAAGAGCTAGATTTCTGACCTGGGATCACCATCAAAGGGGGAATAACTTGGAAGGGCACTGAAAAGGTGTTACTTTGTGGTAACGCTGTTACCATACTGTTTCAAGCTGCCAAGAGCTAAGCTAGCTAACATTCTAAGATCCTAAAGACCAGGAGAAGGTTCTAGATATTTATTCTCCCCTTGAAAGAGAAATGGGTACTCACTCCCTTATTGTGCCATGCCCTCAGCACAACTATACAAAAAAAAAAAAAAATCTCAACACTTGCAAAGGAACATATCGTTTGTTCCATGGCTTTAGTAATGGGCTAGAAGGTACCTGCTTGGGCTCCCAGCAGCGAGCTGTTGCAGAGGAACCTAAGCGGGGGGGTCGGCCACGTTTTACCAAATCTCCCTTTCTATTCACAAGTTCCAGAAAAGGCCCAGCCCCGATCAGGACACCAGAGGCCCGGCTTCCTGATACCTTCTCTCAGGTACTGAACACAGGAGATGAAAATGAACAAAGGAGCCCTCAAAAAGGCTCCTGGAGAAAAGTCTGAATGCCACTCTGCTTGTGTTTGCTCTAGGATGGAAACAAGGCACAGAAAACTACTCCTTGGCCAAGGTTGTATTCCTCATGGGTAGACAGCAAACATTTAGCAACAAAAGGCATATATTAAAGAAAACGGTCCACGATCCGCATAGGACCCAGATGCCACTTCAAAGGGAAGGTCTGAACCTATAAGAGCAGCAGTGAGAAGGGCAGTGGATGCCCAAGGTTCCAGGGTGCTAATGGAAGCAAGTGTGGGGACTGAGAAGCTGGTCTTAGACTCAGGAGAGGCGCAGGCACCAGGAGAGCCATGGCCCGGGAAGACAGCTGCCCGAGTAAGGAATCCCTGTGTCAGGAAGCAGCAGTAACACCAAGAATACTCTGGATGACCTACACACCAAAGACAAGTTTCCTTTCACTTCCTGTCCTCCGATTCTCCTCCCAGACCCTCATTCTCACTAGGACCTTGTATAGCTGTCCAGTTGAGGGCTGAACAGAGACTTGCTATACTGCCTTTCCTCTCTACCATTCAAAGTGCCAATCTTTTCTGGGTCACTGATCCCAGCTGGCTGTTAGAAAATACCAGTAGCCCCTTTAGTCACCTACAAATACCCGCATTCTTTACTAATGCAAACAAATCAGGCCGACAGCTCTTTTGGATACACGGTAAATGAAATCAAAGCCTGTTTAGGGCTCTATGATCTGCCCCAGGTCACGGAGTTTCTGCTGGCTCTGCCGCTTATTAGCTGTGAGACTTCTAAGTTTCCTAAACCATAAAATAGGGAGAAAACCTACCACACAGGATTATGAAGATGAGAATGTGAACTCCATTAGGCACAAGTTTTTTGTGTTCTGTATGTTGCTGTTCTCTCAGTGCAAAAACAAACAAAACCCACCAGTGCTTGGCGAAGAGTGGGCGGTGGGTAAATTCTTGCTGACTGACCAAGGCAATGAAAGACTACAAGGCAAGCAAGCGTTTTTCAGGCCACACGTTTATAGACACAGTGCTCTTCCAGGGTTTCTCCATATAAGAAGAATGGAGACAGATGCAGACGAAACAGGTGTTTTCTAACAGCCAGCTGGGATCAGTGACCCAGAAGAGATTGACACTTTGAACGGTAGAGGGGAAAGGCAGTATAGCACTCTTGACATGCGGGGCCAGGTGATTCTTTGTTGCAGGCGTGTGCTGTGCACTCCAGGGTGTTTAGCGGGGCTCCTGCCTTCTACTCACTACATGCACCACGTCCTCTCAGTTTTGACAAACCAAAATGCTTCCAGACACCGCCACATGTCCCCTGGGGGGGGGGGGAGGGGTGGCCACCCAGGCTGAGAACCGCCGATGGCAAAGTTTGGGGGTAAGAGCTAAGGTATGGAGCAATCACTTCACTCTCACGCACTATCCTAATCCTTTTGGGAATTCCCTTTTGTTTTTGTTTTCTAGACAAAGGGTCGATTACCTTTCATTTTCCCTTCATGCATGGGGCATCCTGAAGGCGGGGATGCTGTCTGATGATCAGAAGCATTTGAGGTCTGAACTGCAACAGCAGGGGTAGACGCAGACAAACCCATGGTTGGAACCGCGAGGCCGAATCCAAACGATTCTAAACTCACACGTGCCAAAAAGCAAAGAAACCGATTAATGCTGATGCCTGGCCTCTGACCACTCCCTAGGTATTCTTAATCTGCCCAACCCTTGTTCCTCCCCCTTGTCATCCTGTTGTAAACCTACAGGGCAGGGTATCCACTTTGAGGGATAGCTTTAATACATTAACCCCTTTAGGAAATACCAGTGCGAAATCTACACCACACCACTCTTTAGACGCACGTTTCTAAGATGTCCGGATTTTGGGGGTGAGGTGAGGGCGCCCCTGAGAAACTACACCACAGAGAGGGGGGTGTAGGTCTAGGGAGCAGGGGGTCCTCAAAGTGGTGATCCAGATGGGAGAGGGCAGCCCGGACCAGAACCCCAGACCCGGGCTTAACCAAGGACTGGGAATGAGGGAAGGGTACGGGGCAGAAAAGGGATTCGAGGAGGAAGGAAAGGACCGCTGACGGGAGGACGCGGCCAAAAGCTTCTTCACGCGGTCCCTGCGTGTCTCACCTGGGACCCCCGTCCCGGGACCCCAAAACCCACCGGCCTCGGCCAGCCTGCCCCTCCGCACCTGACTCCAGTCCCGGGCCGCTCCGAGGAGCCCGCCCCGCCTCTAACCGCTAGCCCGCCACCGCCGCCTTCTCCTCTCTCGGTCACCGTTGCCTTCGCGGTCACCGTTGGCGTTCGAGCGCACCGCTACTTCCTTTTCCGAAGGCGGGACTTCCGGGCGCGCGGGAGGCGGGGCGCGGGCTGAGGAGGAACGGCTTCCGTCGATCACGGAGGAGCGGACCCCGCCCCTTCCCGCCTCGACCTATAAGCGCGAGGGCCGCTCCCTGGCCCCGCCCCTCCTAACCAGCGCGGGCCAGGAGAGTTCTGGCTGGGCCGGAGACTTCCCTAGGGTGAGGTTGCCCATGGCTCCTTTAAGCCGCAGAGGGGTTGCTTTGGAGGAGTTAGTTTTAAAATTTCCGGCTTTTAAATTGTATCCCGTCAGTTTGAATTATAGTAATGACTCAAGTAGCATCAGTAGGTGGCCGACTCCGGAGATCCCAAAATGAACAAATCAAGGTTCCAGCTCCCAAGGCCTTCTTAACTGGGTGTGTGGACTTGAAGGTCTGTATTTTCACTTACCTCTAAGAGAAAATTTAGTATTTTTTTTCCATCAGGAATGCAGGCAACAAATCCTAGTAGCGTTAGCTGTATGTGCGCTAATAGAAATCACAGAGAAATTATGTCCTAAATAACGGGGGTTTCTGTCTTAAAATACTATTCATCGCTACTTTGAAATTAAGATCATTTTATCTTGTTACTTAAAAAGTGCTAATAAGAAGCATCTGTCTATCCGTGTCACCCCGCCTTCAGGGCGGGGCAGGCCATCTCCTGGGTGCTGGGGGTGTTAGCAGCTGCAGCCACTAGGCTGGGTCTCTCTCCAGCAACAGCCCTGGGCCAAAAAGAGCTGAGCTGCCTCGGGCAAAAAATCACATCCCCTCCCTTGGGGATGGGCTGCAGCCTTTGAGTGGTGTCTGCAAGGGTCTGGGAGGCCCAGGCCCTAGCCTCAAGGGGAATAACTTGGAAGGGCCATCCCAGCTTCAGTGGCTGAGGTTTCCATTGTGGCTGCCTCGCATTCAACTTCTCCCCTTTGCCCAGACCTTCTGTCACTCTCTCACTGCGGGTTGCGAGAGCATTCCTAGCCCAAATCTTGGAGTCTCAGCTGTTTTAATCAGCTTCGTTATTATTATTATTTGGATTTGGTGAGGTCAACAGATCAGGAAACAAGTGCCATTGAAAATATAGTTTATTATACTCAGAGACTCCGAGAAAGGGAGTACATATCACACCGGGGGTGCCACACGTGTGTGCACTAGAGTCTTTCTTGAGCCAGAGGGAGAGGGGGGAACTGGGGGGCAGAAGCCTTTATTATGGTGTTCATGGGAAGAAATAGGTGAGGTGGGGTAAGCAGATTCAGGACTGGTTGATTTGAATAATCTCAGCGAGTTGGAGCACAGGGCTGGGTGGGACCTGGCCCTGGGCTGATGGGGGCGGGTGTCTGGTGGCTCAGAGTATGGGAGCCCAATGACACTTGGTCGGCAGGTGTGGACTTAGCTGCTCAAGAAGGGGAGCTGACCAGCCTCTAGCTGGGGCTTCAAAACTGGCTCAAGACAGCATATTAAAAACTATATTATATCCGTGCATATTTCCTGGGGAGCCAGATCTTTAGCAATCAAAATCTGTTTTTCTAAAATCTGACGGTAACTATATTCCACTATCGTTGATTTCTTTAATGTCTTGTAGTTTGTTTTATGCACGTGAGAATATTATTCTGCGAAAATACTCATAGACTTCACAGTCCAAAGGGGCATACTGGCACCATAAGGCCAAAAACCCCTGGTAATGGGAGAGACGGGCACACAAATAACCATATTTACGTGTCAGTACGTGTATGCTCCGACTGGTGGAGGAAGAGGGAAGAAGTGACCGTTAAAGGGTGATGTGCCGGAAGTGCTTACGAAGGAAAGTAACAAGGATGCTTTATAGACAAGGAGCTACCAAACAGGGCATTAAGGAGAGCTGTAGGTGGGTGGAGAGACTGGGGGGACACTTTCAACCGCAGCGCCCACTCTCCCCAGGCAAAGACTTACTGCTCTTTAGCTGTTTCTTCTAGTTTTCCGTCCATGTTCCAAACAACATGCCGACACACACACACACAGGTCCCTCCCCTATGCCAATAGTTATGTGGTTTGGGATACGTCACAGTTTCGTATTTACATTATTGTGACTATGGAAATATTTGTTATGACCAAAGATGATTTTTTTTCCTTGTACTTTTTCAATGGAATTCACTCCTTGCCTCCCCGCCCCGTTGTCTTTTTTGATTTTTAGGTTATCCCTAAGTTTCTTGTCTGCATTGTAAATCTCCTCTCAGTGCATTTAAATATATCAACTCATGCATGTTTCCTTTTTCCTCTTGGAGATAAGGGAAATATCTCACAGATAAGCGCCTCACTGCTGCCGCAGCTGCTCAATTCTAAACTGGAAATGACTTCTGCCCCCCCTTCGTCTTCTTGGGATTTTCTTTCTGCCCTTTCTTATCCTTTGCTGGACCTCGGGCTCTTGGATACCATGTATCCTTCTTGGCATTGTTTTGGGAGCACATCGGTTTTCGAGGTCTTGAAAATCAGAAACTGTTTTACCCTTCCCATTGATTGGTAGTTTGGAAATACAATGCTAGGTTTGGAAGCATTTCTCTCAGAACTGTTAAGCGGTTACTTCATTGTCTTTTAGTTTCCATGGTTGAGGTTGAAAAGTCAAATGTCATTTCTTTTCTTTCTGTCGACATTATTTTTAACTTTCTTTCTTCCAGTGGCTGGAAAAGATGTGCCTTGATATAGACCTCTTTGCTTTCACTGGCTTGGCACTTGATGGGACCATTCATTCTGGAAACCTATAACCTTCACATTGGGGATATTTTCTCGGATGATTAATTTTCTTTTAACTTTGCTCCACTCTTACTCTCTTCATCCTTTCTTTGAAGGAACCTCTGTCACTCGTATGTTGGATTCCTAGCTGACACTCTCATTTTCTTATGTCATCCTATCACTTTTTCGTCTTGTTTTATTTTTTATAAGGCTTAAAATTTTGTCCAACCATAAATTCTAGTTTATTTCTGTTCCCATGTTTGAAATGTCCAAGACGTGTGTGCACATGTGTGTATATGTGTGTGCTTTTGTGTGTGTATGTACAAGCACGTGTGTGAGTATATATGTGCGTGTATGTGCCTGTGTGTGTACGTCCGCCTCTACAAGGCAGCGCCTGTGGGTTTGCCAATCCATGGTAATGTGATATGAACTCCTGCTGTCAGACCCAAGGGTTTAGCAGAGAGGAAAAACTGAAGCTCTTTGGAAATTACAAACTGAATTTATGACTGGTTGTAGTAAACTAAATCTCCTTTCCAAACCTACAGTTGCTTATGTTTACAAAGTGTTGCTTTCATAGTTCTTAGAGCTCCCACAGTTCTCTGTCTTGTGCCCGATTCTCCTTTTTCCCCATAATTCCCTGATTCCTTTATAATTCTTCATCTCTCCCACAATTCTCTGCTCTCCCTGATTCTCTGCCCTCTCATAATCTTCCTCCTTTTCACAATTCCCCAGTTTGTCCACAATTCCCTCTGCAACAATTCTGCCCTTTCCCAGAATTCCCCGTCTTCCATGTCTCCCACAATTTTTTATGATCTCCCACAATTTCCCGTCTCACACAATTCTCTGTTGTTTCCCGGAATTCTCTCTTTATTCCATAACTCCCTGTCTTGCCCACAATTTTTGTGGCAGGTTTTTAAAAAAAATTTTTTAATTGCGATATAATTGACAGATAATGTTATATTAGTTTCAGGTGTACAACATAGTGATTGGATATATGTAAATACTGTGAAATGTTCACCACAATAAGTCTAGCTAACATCCATCACCACACAGTTATAAACTTTTTTTTGCTTCTGATGAGAACTTCTGAGATCTTTCTTAGCAACTTCAAGTATACAAGACAGTATTGTTAACAGTAGTCACCATGCTGTACTTTATATCCCCAGCACTTCATTTATTTTATAACTACAAGTTCATCCCTTTCGACCATTTTTGTCTGTTTCATCCCATCCCCACATCCAGTCTCTGGCAACCACCAAACTGTTCCATCTATGAGTTTTTTATTTGTAGCTTTCACATATAAGTGGGATCATACAGTATTTGTATTTCTCTGTCGGACTTATTTCGCTCTGCAAAATGCCCTTAAGGTTTATCCACGTTGTCACAAATTGCAGGATTGCCTTCTTTTATATGGCTGAATAGTATTACAGTGCATGTGTGTATGTGTGTGTCATTTTTTTTTTGCCCATTTGTCCATTGATGGATGCCTGGGTTGCTGTCATGTTTTAGCTATTGTAAATAATGCTGCAGTGAACAGAGGAGTGCATGTATCTTTTTGAGTAAGTCATTTCCTTTGGATAAATACACATCGGAATTGCTGGATCATAGGGAAGTTCTATTTTGAATTTTCTGAGACACCCCCATAATGTTTTCCATAGTGGCTACGTTAGTTTACATTCAGCAGTTCACAAGGGTCCTCTTTTCTCCACATCCAACATGTTATCTCTGGTTTTTTTTGAGAGTAATCTTTTCAATAGATAGATGTGAAGTGAAATCTCACGGGTCGATTTGCATTTCCCTGATGATCACTGATGTTCATCACCTTTTCTGGTACCTGTTGACCATCTGTATGTCTTTAAGAAAGTGTCTATTCAGTTCTTCTGCCCAGTTTTTCATCGGATTTTTTTTTCCTATTGAGTCGTATGAGTGCTTTATATATTTTGGCTGTTACCACCTTATCAGATACATGATTCACAAATATTTCTCCCATTTGGTAGGTTGCCTTTGTATTTTGTTGATGTTTTCCTTTGCTGCGCAGAAGCTATTTAGTTTGATGTTCATTGTTACTTGTTTATTTTTACTTTTGTTGCTTTTGCTTATGGCGTCAAATCAAAAACATTATCTCCAAGACTGACGTCGAGGAGCTTACTGCCTATGTTTTCTCCTAGGAGTTTTATGATTTCAGGTCTTATGTTCATTTTGAGTTAATTTTTGT